CTGGAATGAATTTGATGGGATACAATTACTACTACTACTACTACTACTACACATCCCCAGAAGAAGGGACAGATAACCCACTTTTGAGTACTGTACTTGCATACCTAGAGAAGCTGAGATAGGTCACCACAAGCTTGAATGAATTTGATATTTTAATCGCTCTAGATAAGACCAGGATGATTACTACTACTACTACTACTACTAATGTTGTGAATATTGATTATATATATTCACCAGAGCTAGAGTGGTTAACCAAAATTTGATGCATGGATGGATGGATATGGGTTACATGCATAAATTTCAGTGTGTATTTAAAGGCTTAAATAAAGAGAAAGGCTTTTTAGCTCATGATGGATGAAATCGTTTTGCAGGCAGAAGGCATAACCTTCACTCACTTCTAGCTAGCAAGTAAAGATTTGCTGCTGTGGTTCTTGAGGGCATGCACCTGTTGGCTTGGCACATGGTTATGAATCCCAGCAGGAACTCTTTTAATTGTCAGCTGGAAGCAAGTGAATGTTACACCACTTGCCTTCTGCCTGCATAAAATAGCAACAGGAGTTCAGCCAATCTGTGTCACTGTAAGTATGCGGTTTGTCCATGCACAGACAGAAATTATTTACAGTACTATGGATTCAGAATCAGGATTATGAAAAAAAAAATAAGGCACTTCAGAATCAACCTCTTTGCATTTCAAATATATATTGAAGTACTGACCTAGATATTTAATCGCTCTAGATAAGACCAGGATGATTATATTATCACCTTTCTCAAATTCCATTACTTGTGTTAACCATTTTAATATTTGTCATTTTAAATTTCATTTTCTGTGGCTGTATCCCTGTTCCCTGGATTCCCACACAAGCAATGTATCCTTGCATTTCAACATGTGACTAAATTTCACTTTGTGTATCTAAAGAATTGAGTTTGAACCCATAAAAGTTTACAATGAAATAAAACTGCTAGTTTTCAAAGTACCACTGTATTTTTGTTTTTATTTATGTTATATACCCTCAAATCATCTGTGACTTGTGACAGTTCCAACTTGAGATATATGGGATATTCATGAAATAGATAACCACTGTCATCCGTGTGCTCCAGGTATTTACATGGCCAACCTGAGATTTGAGGCCAGGTCTGCAAAATCCACATGACGGAGTGAGCTACTGTCACTAGTCCCAGCTCCCGCCAACCGAGCAGTTCGAAAGCGTGCAAATGCAAGTAGATAAATAGGGACCACCTCAGTGGGAAGGTAACACCGTTCCGTGTCTAGTCGTGCTGGCCATGTGACCACGGAAGATTGTCTTCGGACAAAGCGCTAGCTCTATGGGTTGGAAATGGAGATGAGCACCTCCCCCTAGAGTCAGACATGAATGGACAAATTGTCAAGGGGAACCTTTAACTTTACCTTTTACTGCTAAGTCCTAGCTCAACCTTGTGCACTACATCATATTGGTTCTCATTTTATTTTATTTTTACACATACTGAAATGAACTATCATGATGATCTCTTTGAAATCAATTTTACCAGTGTCTTGGGTCATCAGAAATTCAGACAGCTGTGTCTGGTATGAATTCCTTTCCAAATTTCCTTGCACTGCCTTTAAGAGCAAATATCACTGAAAGACTGTGACAGCGTTTTCTGATTTCAAAATTGCAAGAATTAAGTGTTCCAGAAATACAGAAGGAGGAAGCAAATGAGTCATTGGATTTTAATCCACCATCTACACAGTTTCTAAGTGGCTCATATATTAAAGAACTCTAAAGGAAAAGACTATTTTATATTAGTAGAATGAATTCAACGGTAGCTAAGTTATGGGTGGTGTGAGAACATTTTTTAACCAGACCCAGAACTATCTGATTCTTAGGACTCAAATAAATAAAAAGGGTTCATGAGGCAATTTTGGTGGGGACACAGAAGAGAGCCTTCTCTGTTGCTGCTCCCAAACTTTGGAATTCTCTCCCATGGAGGCCAGACTGACCCCATCTTTGCTGTCCTTCCACAAATAGGCAAAGGCCTTTCTCTTTAGGCAAGCTTTCCCTTTATGACTTAATGCCTTAGCAGGGGTTTTTAAATGGATTTTTGTACCTTAGTGCTTTGAATGTGTTGTGGTGTTGCTTATGTTTTTTGGTATTGTATTCATTGATCCTTTTAATATTCTTACTAACTTTTTTTTAAACTGTAAGCCACCTTGGGTGCTTTTTAAGGCAAAAACAGGTTATAATATTTCATTTAAATAAAATAAATCAATAAACAAACAAGCTTCTATACTGCTAATTCATAATGTTTCAAAATCTCTTGATTGTTGTGGGTTTTTCGGGTTCTTTGGCCGTGTTCTGAAGGTTGTTCTTCCTGACATTTTGCCCGTCTCTGTGGCCGGCATCTTCAGAAGACTGGAGTAGGAACTCTGTCCATGTTCTGTTGCTGTTTGTTGGACAGTTGAGTATTTATAGCTGTGGGAACAGCTTTTGTCCTTTTCAGGAGATAGGGTGATGATGGTGATCAGCGTGTTTTTGTTGTGGATTTATTGTTGTGATAAGAGGGAGAGATTATCTGTCACTGTGATTGATGGGTGTCTTTAGTTGGTCTTTTTTGTGTAATGATCCCTGGTCCTTGTGGCTGTGTAGAGTTCGTTGACCTTCTGCAGGCTGTATTTTTCAGTGCTGGAAGCCAGGCCTTGTTCAGTTTCAGACTTTCCTCTTTTTTGTTGAAGCTCTGCTGGTGTTTATGGATTTCAATGGCTTCCCTGTGCAGTCTAACATAATGCCTGTTGATGTTGTCCAATACTTCAGTATTTTGAAATGGAATTTCATGTCCAGAACAAGTTGGACAACAAATTAAAAAATGATTTTTAAATTTAAATTGTGATTTACATCAATTTGATTTTTTCAGAAGTACTGATTTTTAGCCACCCTGATTCATAAAAAGTCACTATGTTTATTTTGCTGTTTGTTAAAATTCTCAATTTGTTACTTACCACATCCTAAGCACATCTAGACAAAGTGAAGGTAGTGAATGAAGGCATGAGCTACAATTCAGGCATTTCTAGGTCCCTTAATTGGGAGAAAGGTGGCATAGAAATGTACATACATACATACATACATACATACATACATACATACATACATACATACATACATACATACATACATACATACATGTTGATTTGTTGCTATTTGATATATGCTTTTTTTAACTCTACAAGAGATCTATCTACTCTTTAGAAGACATTCTACTTGATTTCAAACCATACTAACATACTCATTAATTTCATTACGCATACGTTTTTGTGTACTACAGTCCACAAAACTAAAAAAAAAGTGGACTCTTGTCTGTAAAAACTTCGCCAAAAGAAATTAACTGTTAGAATGCCAGAATACTCTCAGTAGTTTTTGCTGGAATCAGGTAAGTTACCTACTCACCTGGAAGATTGTAAAAAAAGAAGAAAAAGAAGAAGAAACAAAAAAAAACCCACCTAGTTCACTGCTTTGCAATGTTCAGTCCATCCTATCAAAAATGCTGTGTTATTTTCTCAATCTGAATAGTAAAATTCTAATACTGGCATAGCAAGCACCATGTAGGCTTCATTCCTGTACAGTGGTGCCTTGCTTGATGATGTTAATTCCTTCCAGCGAAATTGCTGTAGAGCGAAAATGTCATCAAACGAAATAAAAAAAACCCATTGAAACACACTGAAAACCATTCAATGTGTTCCAATGGGCTGAATACCTGCTCGCCCAGCGAAGATCCTCCATTGGGGCAACCATTTTCGGTGCCTGTAGTGCAAAAAATCAGTCCTAAAAACAGCAGGGGCCATTTTCTTCAGCCGGCGGCCATTTTGAAACCCGACTATCAGTTGTTTGCTGATCGTCGTAAAGCAAAAATCGGTTCCCGAAGCAGGGAACCGATCATCGCACAGCGAAAAAAAAACATTTAAACCATCGTTTTGCGAACGCAAAAATGTCAACGTTAAGCGGATTCATCGTTAAACGGGGTAATCGTCTAGCAGGGCATGACTGTATTATTATTTTTACACATTAACATTTGAACACTAGCTACCTAGGTTCTTAATTATTCCAGAAACCATAAACAGAATTTGCACAAAAAGGAAAACAAGCAGTCATGAACACAGCTGGATAATCCTGAACAAGTATAAAAGTTGTAATGCTCAGAGATTTGTAAGCAATGTGTCCATATTAGCTGCACACAATACAGGTCAGGTTCATTTAAATCACTTTGTAATATGGGTCAAGATGTTTTTAAAAATAAAACTATGCATTAATACAAGGAATGTGGTGGCACTGCGGGTTAAACTGCAGAAGCCTCTATGCTGCAAGGTCAGAAGACCTGCAGTCATAAGATCGAATCCATGCAATGGAGTGAGCCTGTCGCTTGTCCCAACTCCTGCCAACGTAACAGTTTGAAAGCATGCAAAATCCAAATGTGCAAGTAGATAAATAGGTACCACCACAGTGGGAAAGCAACAGTGTTCCGTGTCTAGTCGTGCTGGTCGCGTGACCACGGAAGATTGTCTTCGGACAAACGCTAGCTCTATGGGTTGGAAATGGAGATGAGCACCGCCCCCTAGAGTCGGACACGACTGGACAAATTGTCAAGGGGAACCTTTACCTTTACATGCATTAATACAGATAACAAAACTACAGCACCCTCCACAGTTAACATTAACAATATTTCAAAACATTTGTGCATGTTCATATGTGTATTATGTCAAACATTTCTAGACTAGAAATAACTGATGATGCAATCTGTTTATATTGACAAATATTCTTTCCCACTTGTGGGCCATGGAAAGAAGAAGAAAAGTGTCTTCTAACCAACTACAGGCCCCAAGAGGTTAGAATTCTGAACTGAACACACTGGAAAGAAAATAAGCCATAAATTTTACTACTACCAACACAACTACTAAATAATGACAGTCACAAATATCCAACTCAAAAAATAACTTTAAATGAGCGGAGAACAAAGATAATTTAAAAGATTACCTTATTCGTTTATCTTCAGTTTTTTTCAGGTATTCATCCCTCTTCAGTACCCCCAATATTGTTTCTTTTTCATGTTCCAGTAAAAATGACAAATTGATGATCTCTATGTTTGTAGACATGTTTCTTCAACTGTATCTTTTTATAATGCACGTTATTTTCCAAGAGTGACGGAATGTTCAAAGGCACACAGCTACAAATCACCATGCGTTGCAAGTTCATAGATCTCCCAGCAAGAGCTAATTTGTATATTTCCTCCTTTAGTGACCTGAGTGTCCATTTAAACTTTGCTCTATTTCTTGAACATGCCACACTTCTTCCTTCATAGATTAGTAATTTCTCATCATCATTTTATTTTGATTCTTGGTACCTGAGTAATAATAACAATAACAAAGAATTACTTTGATATGAGTAACATTTTACATAATCAATATAAACTAAATATTACCTTCAAGACAGTATTCTGCACCTAACCACATAAAAATTCATGCTTTCATTGTAAACCATGACTAAACTATCATTTGGCAGGCAACTAGGATGTGTTACCAAGATTCAGGAAAATGTTCACATAAAATAAGAAATATCATTTAACTTATTCATATTTTTGCAAATTTCCAGTTCAACCGTAAATCAAATTCCATACCAACTTTTGGTGGGGGGGAATAACAATACAAAAGATGAAATGTTGATGGTTTAGAGCAGGAAATATTTCTTTTAGAGATGTACCTAAATACCTCAAACAGTACTCAACAGACACTCTAGATGTCATATTATGTAACTGTTAAGTGGATGAATCTTGGGGAAATAAAATCATTACTATTTTTCACACTTTTCTGCATGAACACGGCTAGTAGGAGAAGCTTGCTATTGTCCAATGGTAATGGGGTAGAGATTATGTGCCTTCCAGATGTGTCTGACCCTAGAAGGGTTTTCAAGGTACATATGTTTAAAATATTGGACTACCATTGCTGCCCGTCTGACCCTAGAAGGGTTTTCAAGGTACGTGGTATGTTTAAAATATTGGACTACCATTGCTGCCACCGCACTGGGTTTTCATATCTGACTGGGGGTTTCAACCCAGTTTTCCAGAGTCCCCACACTGGCTCTCTCCAAGGGTTATATACTGGAGTATGTTTATCCATTTATTTGATTTATATTCCATCTCTCCTGCAAAAATGGGACTTAATGTGGCTCGGGATAACATGAACTGAAAACAGTACAGATTAAGAGACCTAGGTTCAAATCCAATACAGTGGTGCCTCACTTGACGAGGATAATCTGTGCCGTTGAAATCGCCGTTAAGCAAAATCCTCTTCAAGCGAAATTAAAAGGCCCATTAGAATGCATTAGAATCTGGCTAATTCGTTCTAATGGGTGAAATACCTCATCCTAAAGCGAAGATCCTCCATAGGGTGGCCATTTTCCAGTGCCAATCTTGCGAAAAATGCCTCCTAAATACAACAGGGGCCATTTTGAGTGCGGACGGCCATTTTGAAAACCGCTGATCAGCTGTTGAAAAACACTGTTTAGCGAAAAATTGGTTCCCGAAGCAGGGAACCAATCATCGCTAAGCGAAAAAACCCCATTCAAACATCATTTTGCGATCGCAAAAACATCATCGTGAAGCGGATTCATCGTTAAACGGGGTAATTGTCAAGCGGGGCATGACTGTACTATATCTTTAATCTAGACTATCTATTGAGTACCACTCAGAAGTGCATTTTAAGAAGTTATAATACTAAAATAGAATTAAACAGATTATCATAATTACACTTAACTGAATTAAAAGCACTGTAAAAATAGATAAGAGTACAGCACCCACACATTAAAAGACCCTTCCTCAGCATCCAATTAATTGCCAAACACTTTCCAAACGAGATGACATCTTATAAAGGAATACTGCCACACGGGAGCATTTGAATCACTGAATAGACTAAACACTACTACCTCCTGAAGCAGGGATTCTTTATGAAGAAGAGATTCTTTATGAAGAGAATGGGAAAGAAAGGAGCAGGCAGGTTTTTGCAAAATAATCAACAAATAAGATCCCTCAGTATGATTTAAACATGTATTTAAACGTTGGAGTCTCTCTTTTTAAAAAGAAATCGTTATCTTTATTATGATTCAATTTATTGTTTGAACAAGAGCTGCATGGCAACTTAACCAGAGCTGAAAAGAGTCACTTCCAGAAATTTCCAGTCAATATATTGAGTGCCTGGAGAATACAGGAAAGTAACTTTTCCATAAGCATATTGGGTAAAACATGTTATTTTAGTCCGTTCAGGTCAGTGTAATAACTCTTCTGTAAAATGCTCTTCTTTAATGCCTATTCTCTGCTATCTCAAAAAACTATTGCTCTGGGAACACTCCATATCAGTTCCTGAGATATCAGGAAGTAAAGCAGAAGGGCAGTCAGTAAATTTCTCAAAAGAACAATATACTTTAACCTCAGCATCCTTGTAAAATCCAGTTCTTATTCTTACTCATCAGGACAACACACTAGAAGAAGGTAATCCTCTCAATGTACTCTAAATACATGAGGCTTACCATGTGCAGAGTGGAAGAGTCGAACCACTTCTTGTAGTCAGCATGACAGAACACTGCTCCAGTGGCCTCTACACAGAAAGCAACTAGAAAAACCAGCTGTTCTTCCATCTACAGTCTGTTTGCACAATACACACACCCAGCAGTGTGATGCAATATTTGCCACCAGCAGCCAGTTATCAAAGTACAAGGAAATACTTTTAGAATCAACCTGTTTCAGTTTCCAAAGGAAGGAAGGAAAGCATTTACTCCTTTGGAATTCATTTTTTTGCAAACCATGACGCGAAAAAAGTGGAGTCAAAGTGAAAAAAGCGAAAGAGCACTTTAAAGAAAAATTACCAACAGCCATTTCTGATCACTCTGACTGCTGAAAATACCTGAAAAATTAAGAAATCTGCCTTATGCCAATCAATATAAAGCCTAGCAGAATGTGTAATGAGGGACAGCAGCTCTCCATAGCAGTGGGTTTCAATGTACATGTATCGTTAGTGAGAAACAAAAGTAGTCAAGGTGAGATGCAAAGTTATCATAACAAGCTCTAAGACTTCACTCTCCCTCAATCCCCATGTCCTTCTGCAAGCATAACGTGCTGTCTCCTACCAACACCTTCCGCCATGGATTATCACTCTGTGCCTTTTTGGCAAGCTAGTGGTACTTTTTGACACTGTGTTTCTCCTAATCTTCTGTTCCCCCAACTGCTACCTTACTGCACAGGAAAAACAGAAAAACAAAATATCTGTAAATATATAAATAACTTTCTCAGAAAAAGGTTTTTGTTCCTATCATGGTGGGACTCAAATTCTTCAAAGGAATAATTAGCAGGCTGTAAGAAGCAAAACACTGAATGACTATCCTGGTGTTCCAGACATTTCCTAGCGTTACATGCAGATGGCAAGGACATTTGACCCCTGCATGCAAACTTTATGTTGTACCACAAAGGAATATCGCTATGGTCTGATTTGTAAAGTCAACCCACGGAATGTCACTATCTTATTATTACATAATTAAAACTTCATACATCATATATTTATTTACTCATTTATAAGGCCAAATGGATTGACCAAACATGAAAAAGAAAACACCCAACATGACATAGGCACATGGCACAAAAAAGTAAAAAGTAAAGTAAATTTAAAATAATAAATTTAACATTGGGCAGAATCTTTTTGCACTGGCCCAACACCAACAATGGATCTTTTGGAGGCACTAATCTTAAGTTAGAAAATCAGCATAGACGTTATCTTTTGCATATTACTCAGTATGTAATATGCAAAAGGTAATATCTATGGTTATTTCTTAATTTGATTAAAATCACCTCCAAAAGTTCTGATGCCAATGTTAGACCAGTATACAAGAGCTTTTTGGCCGCTGTAGTTTCCTCCATTAGAACAATGAAAGAAAATTGGGTTACTCTTGTTTTTATTTAACTCACATACATTTTTTAAAAAGTGATGTATAATCTTTTGCAAAATTATTGTAAATAGATTTAAATCCAAAATAAACTCATATTCAGTGGTAGACCACCTCTGTACATAAGACGGTTCCTTTAATCATAATGGCTAAAAGTTAGCAGCACTACTTCAAAATATGACAACAGATTGTTTTACTGAGACTGTAATCCTATGTACTTTCTTCAATACGAGGTACGTTAATAGGGCTTGCATCCAAGTAAATATGCCCGTGATTAGCTTAAAACTATATAACTGGCTGGCTGATTTTCTTGGCAAATCTTCAAAATACTCTTACATTATTTCATTTCATTCACTGTTATGGAGCGCTCACACATTTATAATATAAAATGACAATTACATAAGCCCATATCAGCATTCAGTTGGCAGAAGACGGTTATTAATTCTCAAGAGTATCAAATACTGCTGAAGAGCATTTTTTAAAAAAAAAACAAAACAACACCTGATATATGCTCTTATCTGTAAATAATTTAAGAAAGGCTTAGACTGCGAACAAAACCGCAGAACAAATGCCAACACCTTCCAAGAATTTTCTTGAAGTTACAATCAGCAATAAATAGGACAGCAAAGGGCATACTTGGCACAATTATTGCTCAAGTTAAGTCACAAGCTGGAAGCCATCCTTTCATTGTGAAGGAATAACGCTGGCACCCTCATATGCTGCCTTGGCACAACTCTTCTCGTTGACTTTAAGGTTTACTGGAACATTCATTAAAGTATCTCCAAACTATGCTGAGTCTGTTATGCAGAAAAGGGAAGTAGCAATATTAAATACTAATACTAATAGAATCTTAGAACTGCAGAGCTGGAAAGGGCCGCTGAGTCCTAGCCCCTGTCAAGGAGGCCCAGTGGAGAATCGAACTTCCAACCTTTGGCTCTGCAGCCAGATGCCTAAGCCACTGATACGTAATTACTGAGGCTTTAAAGATATGTGTTAAAGGTGTTAACAGATGCTGTAATTACTAGTTTGCAGAGATGTACATGGTGAAGCTTTTCTGGTAAACACAAAAGGGACTGGCTCTTTCAGGTTCTTTCATTTCATTTCCCTCCATTCATATTCTCTCTAGTACTAATCCAAAAAAAAAAAAGTCCTTAAGAACCTATTAAAAACTATTGTATACAAAATGTTTATGCGTTTAAGAATGTTGGAACCAAAAGGTACTGCAGACGCTCACACAGGCAGCCAGCATGGTGAAAGGAAGAAACTGTTGGAAATATAAAAAACAGACTCCGCTCCTACTCCTTCTCTTTTGCTCCCCACCACACCTCCTGTAGATACAGCCACAAAAATATTTTTAAAGGTTAAAACAATAAAGGGCATACACCCTCCAGTCCTATTTCTTTGTCTCTAGGCTCC